ACATTTTTTTGTATTATTCCTTAGAACATTATTTGACAATTTTACATTCTCTCACTTGTATATTAAAATTTCTATTCAATAATTTAAATATGTCGAATGCAATTAAACAACATTTTGGCATGTTACAATTTTTGTTATGACAGTTGACTGCCTATTTCAATTTAAACGTACCTATATGAGGATTCCATCACAAAAATTAATAAAAGCATCATATTTCTGTCCATTTAAAAAATTCCTTTCTTTGTAATATAAGGAACTGAAAAGTATTCTGCAGCGACAATTAAAAGTTTCAAATTTTGCTTCATTTTAATATCTCCAGAGGAAGGAAATAATACGAAATATCTCAAGATGGTTTTGCAATTTCCGTTCCTTTATACAGATGCCTCAACGAAAAGTAATTTGGCTGAGGAGTATACTTTCTGAGAAAAAAAACGCGCATTTACTATAGTCGTGAAGTTTTATAAGAAACCATTCTTTAAATGATATTTCCTGAAACTTCCGAAAATTGTTCCTGATGATTAAAACGAGTTAAATGAAATAACTACATTACTTTTCCCTTACGAGTAACTTGTGAGATTGATTTTATTAGAATGTATATTCTTTGATTTATTAGCGGACATGGAAAACATTTATCTCTCGGGTATGCGAAGTACAAATATAATCTAATGACAGTGTAGCAATTTCTGAAACAAATTCGATGAAATATATAGCTACTTAATATGTTTTCAACAAAATACTAGTGGACAAGGCCAAAATTTACAGAATAAATGTTATTACATTCAAAAAATATTTATATATGTAAATATTTGATTTAATTTAATTGAACTGGAAGATGATTTTTTCCTATATTGAATATATATTATTTATAAATATCAACTTAATGAAAACGGAGTAAAATGGAATTAATTAATTTAACAATGCAGTAAAATATGTGACAAGATTGTCAAATTATTTTGAAACATTCCCAATTATTTCTCCGAACTAGCACATTTCATTAAACTATCCAAATTTCTTATTCATTTATAAATAAATACAGTAAACCAGTAACCTATGTTTTTATTACTAGTAGATATAAAAATTTCAATCGATTAAGGGCAATTCCCAATAAATTTCACGTCAATTACGCGGCATAAATCAAACAATAAAGGAATTTTATCTTTGAAAGGTTTTAATTTTCAATTTGTAGCTATCCATCGTTGAATATTGATCCACTTGTAAAATCAACAATCGGAGTACAATTATGACATTTTCGATGTTTATTCGCAATATAAACTCATTTTACATCTGATTAAAAAAATATGATGTGTAAATAAACAATTCCTTTGAGTACAGATTGACGCCTACATATTTTATCCTTGATAATAATGTCATATTTATTTAATATTAGAGGTAAAAATTGGTCTACTTGCATCAATTGATGAAATTGATTGAGAAAAATGTAATAAATTATCATTAAAATTTAAAGTTAACCTACTCTGATCAATAAATCTAAATTACTACACCCATTTTTTTCTAACCTCTTACCCTCGACCTTATCCCCCCTCCCCCTAGGTATATCCATAAAAATAAGACTGTCTCATCTGTGTATAATGCTGAGACAACTTCAATAATGAATTAATATAAATAACAAAAATTGGACCTGGTAGATTTTACTGAGAAATTCCTATTTTGAGTTCTGAAGATTTACTAGCTATATGTATTTCTAATTTTTACAGTTTATTTCCTGTGGTTCAAAAATTTTTCAAATATACTGTACAGATGTTAAAAATCCTTTACGGAAAAACTAAGGAGGTTCTATGTATATCTATAAAATGTCATAATTAAATTCATAAGTAGGCATAGTGCACGTACAAAGTCTAACAGAGCCGGCGCGAGGATCGGTGGCCTTCACAGCTGACTCGCGTGTGACTGTTTAGTTATTTACGGAACCTTGTAGTAGTTGGTGTCGCGTCGATAACTTTCTTTTTTACGTCTGCTGTAAATTGTATTCACCGTGTGTATTAACAACTATTAGTTAGGTGAAAAGTAATGTAAAATGCCAAAAGAGAAAAGAAAGAGACGGGACTATTTCAAATGTAGTTTGACAGTAATCCCGAAGATTACAAGGGACATGCGTATTAAAGGAAATGACCTGTTGTGTACTGTGTGTGAATGCATTATAAATTCTTGTTACAAAACTAAAGTTTCAAGACATTTGAACAGCCATGCCTCGTCCAGTGCTGAAGACTCCGTATTTTTCTATGAACTTACAGACGCCTTTCGCTCAAGCAATATTCCATTAGACAAACTAGAGAACCCCAAGTTCCGTAATTCCGTAAATTGGAATCACATGGGCTATCCTTAAATGAACAATTTGATATAATGGATGACGAGCAAAAAATATATACAATGCCAATAATAAAAAGAAAAGATAAAAGAAAAATTACAAAGGGGGTTGGAAAAATTCCAAGGATACACCATTTTGGAAAACATATGTAAAGTTTTATCTGGTACATATCAGGAGTTACCAGCAAATATATTAATATATATAGTTCTCATACTGTCCATGTCAACAGTAGACGTTGAACAGTCATTCCCCACACAAGTTAATATTAAGTGATAAACGTCGCCGTTTCACTAAGGAAAACTTAGAAAAAGCACGTAGTAATATGTTTTAACTCCTTCCAATATGTCACGGAAGTCTTGTCTCAACACTAAGGTTTATCGCGTAAATAGTGTCATTTAAAATATAGGTATTTTATTCTCTATTTAGCCTTGCTCTTTGGTAACAGTACAATGTTGTGACATATTTTCTGTAAACATATTAATATTTTCATTCGTAATCTGACTACGGTCCTGTTAAACTCCGCGTCGCACTAAGCCTATTCATAAGTAGGTAATATGCGCAATTAAAATGTGCAGATCCCCAAAAAGTTATTTTTTTTCAATTGTTAAAAAGTATACACATTTTTTTTATGCATATGTGTCGTCAAAATTATTTTCTAAGTGTTTTTAAATTTTTGCATAATAGAAGAATTATGTAAATCATATCAAGAATTTTGTTTTTAAAATTACATATTTTATTAGTAGCTCTCACATTTTCACTTTATTATAAACGTACTAAGCTAAATCAAACAAACACAAGGAAAATCCTACAAAATTCTATTAAATGAAGCCAAACGATATTATCGGAACACATTTTTGTGACTATATTTGATAGAATTTTTAGGAAAAAAGATTATGCGTTCATTTGAACTAGCTTAATATCTTTAAAATAAAATAAAAGATGTACTTAGTTGTGGCGAATTGTTAAGTGGAAAAAAGTGACAAACAATATAAATATTTTTACTACATTTAAAGAAAGAATGAAAAAATATAGATATTCATGTAAAACAAACAAAAAATATCGTAATCTTTAATTACGATAATGTTTCTCAGCGTACTGAACTATACAAGATTTTATTTCTGTAAAACAAACAAAAAATACAGTAATCTTCGATTAAGATAACGTTTCTCAGTGTATATTCTACTTTATCTATGGTAAACATGCCAAAATATAGTAATCTTCAATTAAGATAACGTTCTTCAGTGTATATTCGACTTCATTTATGTAAAACATACAGAAAATATAGAAATTTTCAGTTAAGATAAATTTTCTCGGTGTTCTGAACTATATTTGATTTTATTATGTAAAACAAACACAATGCACAGTAATCTTCAACGAAGATAACGTTTCTCAGTGTATATTCTATTTTATTTATGGTAAACTTGCAAAAAATACAGTAGTCTTCAATGAAGATAACGTTGTTCAGTGTAATTCGATTTCATTTATGTACAACGTACAGAAAATATAGAAATTTTCAGTTAATATAAATTTTCTCGGTGTACTGAACTATATTTGATTTTATTATGTAAAACGAACAAAATACACAGTAGTCTGCAAAGAAGATAACGTTTCTCAGTGTATGTTCTACTTTATTTATGGTAAACATGCAAAAAATACAGCAAACTTCAATTAAGATAACGTTTTTCAGTGTACTTCGATTTCATTTATGTAAAACATACCGAAAATATAGTAATTTTCAGTTAAGATAAATTTTCTCTGTGTTCTGAACTATATTTGATTTTCTTATGTAAAACAAACGAAATACACAGTAATATGCAATTAAAATAACGTTTCTCAATGTATATTCTACTTTATTTATGGTAAACATTAAAAAAATACAGCAATCTTCAATTAAGATAACGTTTTTCAGTGTAATTCGATTTCATTTATGTAAAACATACAGAAAATATAGTAATTTTCAGTTAAGATAAATTTTCTCTGTGTTCTGAACTATATTTGATTTTCTTATGTAAAACAAACGAAATACACAGTAATCTTCAACGAAGATAACGTTTCTCAGTGTATATTCTACTTTATTTATGGTAAACTTGCAAAAAATACAGTAGTCTTCAATGAAGAGAACGTTTTTCAGTGTAATTCGATTTCATTTATGTAAAACGTACAGAAAATATAGAAATTTTCAGTTAATATAAATTTTCTCGGTGTACTGAACTATATTTGATTTTATTATGTAAAACAAACAAAATACACAGTAGTCTGCAAAGAAGATAACGTTTCTCAGTGTATGTTCTACTTTATTAATGGTAAACATGCAAAAAATACAGCAAACTTCAATTAAGATAACGTTTTTCAGTGTAATTCGATTTCATTTAATTATGTAAAACATACAGAAAATATAGTAATTTTCAGTTAAGATAAATTTTCTCTGTGTTCTGAACTATATCTGATTTTCTTATGTAAAACAAACGATATACACAGTAATCTGCAATGAAAATAACGTTTCTCAGAGTATATTCTACTTTATTTATGGTAAACATGCAAAAAATACAGTAGTCTTCAATGAAGATAACGTTTTTCAGTGCAATTCGATTTCATTTATGTAAAACATACAGAAAATATAGTAATTTTCAGTTAAGATAACATTTCTCGCTGTACTGAACTATATTCGACTTACAAATAACGTTGAGCCTCGCGTTGGCACGAATAGCCTTGTGCATCCTGGCAGGCCCCACCTGGCATTGATACTCGGCGTCGTCCTCCAGGGACGCATTGCTCACCCTAAGGTTGTAAACCCCATGTCGTCTGTCTCCGATCACCGAGTACCGTGGAAATCCCGGAATTACAGACGAAAAACCTACAAAGAATTAGTTAAAATTATACACACATCTCAGAACTCCCTGCAGTCACACGGAAAGGAAATTGTTCAGTCGAGTAAATATATTTTGTCAGTTAAGTATAAATAATTTAAACACATACTATACAGTTTACCCAACGGAATATCTCTCTTGCTTGCCAATATAATATTTATTGAAAAAGAAGCAAATATCTTTAGTAGAATATACAGGGTGTCCCGTTCATGTTTCAAAAAAACTCGTGTGCAAGTTCCTCACGGGAAAATAATAGGGGTAGTTCTTGTAAAGTTTTTTCTTAGACCTGTTTATACGATATGCAGTGTGTTGAAGTTGTTACTTTCCAAATTGTTTTCCTTAATTATCTTTAAATCGGCTAAATATAAAAATGTCAAAATTTGTACACGAAAATCAACTCTACGTTAAGAATAATGTGCAAACGGTTTCTTTCTGAAAAGCAGTGTCGCCGATACAGGTAAATGAAGGGGCACAATCGAATAAAAAATATGTTAAAAGTCAATATTTATTACATTTATAAACGGTTCTGTAAACTCTAAAGGATACTACAAAAAAAAAGATATACATACTTGTCGAAATTCAGTAGCATGTACCATTTTCGAGAAAAATGAAGTTGCATTTTTTTTGTTCACATAAAGCGGCACAAGTACATTAACAAAATATTAAATTGATAGAGGACCTTACCACTGAATGAGCTGAAGACATTTAGCTACCAACAGTATTTGCATTTAAGACTATAATTTTAATTTCTTACATATCACATGAAACAGTTAAATTGTAAACCATTTTATTAACTAAAAAAAAATAAATTTATTTTAAGTTTCAGGTTGTTGTAAACTAACATTTAAAAAAGTAAATCGAAATAAACAGACAATGGTAATTAATTATCTATTATTAACTAATTTTAGATTTTGTAAACTACTACACTAAGTACCATTACTAAAATAAACAATTATCGAATGGACTGAATTGTTGATAGACATGAATACTTAAGAAAAGTGATAAAAACAGAAAAGTATTGGGAAACAGGCTCGGAGACATACAGAACAAACCAGCTGCACATTTTTCTGGAAAATGGCACATGCTACCGAATTTCGACAACTATATCTTTTTTTTGTAGTATGCTTTAGAGTTTACAGAACCGTTTAGAAATGTAAAAATTTTGACTTTTAACATATTTTTTTTTCGATTGTACCTCTTCAATCTTTATCAGCGACACTGCTTTTCAAAAAGAAACCGTTTGCACATTATTCTTAACGCACAGATGATGTTTACTCGTGTAGAAATGTTGACATTTTTATCTTTAGCCGATTTAAAGATAATTAAGGAAACTATTAGGAAAGTAACAACTTCAACACAGTGTATCTCGAAAAGAGGACGTCTGAGGAAAACTTTACATGAACTACCCCAATTATTTTTCCAAGGGGAAATGGATTTTTTGAAACTTGAACGGGACACCCTGTATATTTCAATTAACAAGACAAAACTAATTATTATAACTTATTAATTTACTCTACTGGAGTAACAAATCAATAACCAACAAAACAATGTATAAAGATAATAATCACAAATGATCGAGTAACAAACAGTTTTTGAACTCGAAATAATTGGCATATTTCATTTTATTGCTAAAAACCTTTGTATTAATGTACCTAAAGAAGACAACGTATATTTTTTAGTTAAGAACAAAAAAACTATATGACGAGCGTTCAAATAAAACCGTGGTCAAGTTGGTTCTGAAAATTTGGACGTAGGGCGTAGCGTATAGCAAATGAACTTAAACGTCATCTGTCAAAGCGCTATATCGCCGCTATCAATTTGAATATTTTCGTTTTAAAAAGCGTTTAAAATGGTGTTTTCTCAAGAACAAAAAGTGTTTATCATAGAGTCCTACTTTAGAAATGGACGCAAGATTGATGGAATATGGAAGTATTCTATTGAGGAATGTTTCATAGAATTTCAAAATCAATTTCCCGGCGTTGTTGAGTACAAAATTTTTCAAAGTGCAGTTCAGCGTTGTGTTAATGTTTTTCGTGAAACGGGCAGTGTAACAAGAAAAGAAGGAAGCGGCCGACCTAAAAAGCGGACTGAAGAATTAAAAGAAAATGTCCAACAAATAATGGAAAATGCGCCAAGAACTTCTGTACGTGTTTTATCACAAATGGTGGGAGTATCAGTCGGTACCTGCCACACAGTGTTAAAAAAAGATTTGCGTTTGTTCTCCTATCGTTTAACTTGTCAGCAAGAACTTCATGAAGTTGATTTTCCGCGACGGGCTGTATTTTGTGAATGGTTTTTAAACAACTACGGTGAACTTCATAATATCACCTTTTTTTCTGATGAAGCCTGGTTTCATTTAAGTGGTTACGTAAACTCACAGAATATGAGAATGTGGTCTTCTGAAAAACCAGATAACTTTTTTGTCGAGGGCCCTCTACACGCTCAAAAAATTGGAGTTTGGTGTGCTCTCAATCGAAGGAGGATTTATGGACCTATTTTTTTTAATGGTACTCTTACTGCGCAAAGGTATAGAGAAGAAATTATCGCTCCTTTTGTTAACCAGCTGGAAGAAAACGAAATTACAAACTTTTACTTTCAACAAGATGGCGCAAGGGCACATACGGCAGGCGAGACGATGAATATGTTGAGGGAAGTTTTCCAAAATCGACTAATAAGTCTCAATGCTGAACATGAATTTCCACCGAGGTCATGTGATATTACGCCGTGTGATTTCTTTTTGTGGCCTTACCTTAAAAACACTATTTTTGAACTGCCTATTCCTGATTTAAACCATCTGCAGGCTCGACTTATAGACAAGATTCGTGAAATTAACAATACCCCGAGCATCTTAGAAAATGTCTTTAATTCTTTGAGGAACAGGTGTGAAAAGTGCTTGGAACAAGGAGGGGGACACTTTCAGCAGCTGCTTTAATTTATTGTTATAACAAGGAGGGGGACACTTTCCGCAGCTCCTTTAATTGTTTGTTATTGTTATCACGATTATTCTTTAAAATAAAGTTATATAGTCATTAACGTTATTGAAACTGACAGCTGCTATACAGCTCGTTGAGAAATGAGGTTAAGTTGGTCGCTATAAGCTACTCCCTACGTCCAATGTGTCAGAGCCAACTTCGACCACGTTTTTATTTGAACGCTCGTTATTATTGTCTTTAACAAAAATATATGTATGTATTTTGTAAATTAACAGATGTAATCTATTGGTTAAAACATATACACTGTGCCCAAAATGATGGAAAAAATCATATTCATATTCATTCCAGTTCAGATTTTAAAAAATCGCTGCAATATTTTAAATTTTAATTTTAATTTAAATTTTAAACCATGTTTGACAGACCTATAACATTACCGACTTTTTTTTAAATAGGATGCTCTATATTTTATAGTATAGATAGATAGCCCTTCTAAAGACGAATTCAACGATATACGGTTATACCTACTTTTTTGTCATAGTTGTCAAGACAATGTAAAACATTATCTCTTATGTCGTACTGACGACTATTTCAAACAATCATAGTCTCTTCTATACTTTAAAAAACGTACCCACACTTTATTAATCTTTTTCTACTTATTTTAAAGCTTTTTTTCCTCAAAAAAAATATAAATAAACACATAAAATTCACCGTCGTTAAATTATTTTGAAAAATAGTTGGCCGTTTAAACGAAATACAGATAATTGAAATTTTAATTCTGATTGGATGCGGAGATAATATCCGTAGTCAACAGGAGGTATGTGACTTATTTTACCCTAAATATTCAGAACAGAGTCGAGTTACAAATATCCAAACAGTTTGAAGTAACCGAAAGTATAAAAGATATACCTAGATCAGGAAGGCGAAGAATGGTAAGCGAAATTATTCGTCAAAATGTGATGCTCGCCGTTACTGAAAATCCTCACTCGTCCATTTGATCTATTTCAGCCAACTTCAACTTATCAAAGTCTTCAGTTCACAGAACTCTGAAGTCTCAAAAGTGGCATCGTTACAAAGTTAACGTCTTACAAGAACTGTGGGCAGATGACACAGACAGAAGATTACAGTTTTGCGAGGAAATTAAAAAATTATTGGAAAGACAACCCAACTTAAAAAATCACATAATTTTCACTGACGAAGCAACTTTTTGCTTAAACGGAACGGTGGACAGGCAAAATATTAGGTTTTGGAGATCAGAAAATCCACATTGTATGCAAGAAAAACATACACAACGGCCGTAAAAAGTGAATGTTTGGGCTGGAATAATAGAAAATCGCATACCGGGACCTTATATCTTTGAGGGTAATTTGACAGGCAACATTTATTTGGATTTTTTGAGTTTTCAGCTGATTCCATCCCTGGAATTATTTTTCGTAACCCTAATGAGCACGATATGCCTGCTGGTGATGTCTGGTTCCAACAAGATGGTGCCCCTCCACATTTTCGCCTCGATGTAAGAAATTAATTTAAAGAAGTTTTCCCAAATCGATGCATAGGTAGAAGAGGGCCGCTTGAATGGCCATCACGCTCCCCCTGACTTAAACGCACCCGATTCTTTTTGTGGGATTACCTAAAAGGCAAAGTATATGTAAACAGACCAGACACTATCGAAGGATTGAAAAATCGTATCAGAGAAGAAGTTCGAAACATGACACCAAATGTTATTGAAAATATAATTCGAACACCGAATTGGGCATTGTGCAATTGTTAATGGGGGCCACTTTGAACATTTGCACACAATAAAATAAAAAGTAATAGAAAATATTGCAGAAAAGTGACAATTTCTATTTACTAATTGATGTCTCAGTGATATTTTTAAATTTCAACTGGAAAAAGAATTTGAATTTTGTTTCATCATTTTGGGACACAGTGTATATTATTGCACATATATGACACTTGAATGACCACATTCGTAAAATAAAGAGTACAATATTATGTAAATATGTTTACAATATTTTGGGATATTTAGCAACCAGTATTTTGATGTGATGGAATAAAGACGTAAACAATGATGTAGCAAATTATTCTTCAGGATAACGTGATAGCATTCAAGATAAATTAATGGTCAAATGTCACAATGTCGTTGAACCCCTTGAAATTTATTTTTATTCTCCATTCCGTGGCTCCATTTTCCAGTACGGGATTTTAAATTTAACGTTAACTAAACATTTATAATTAAAATTGCATATATATTTTTTTAATTACGAGAATAGCCTCTATTTGAAAATAATAAGAGAAGATGGCGCCACTTAACAGTAAGGAATAGTGTCCAAATTTGGACTGTATTCTAAATTGAACCATGGCATTTAGTTTTACCTAAATTGATATTAGCGGTCTCTGTTGACAGCTAATTATCTGATACATAAACTAAAATAAAAAGTGAAATTTGCAACCTCTATTTATCTTACAAAACAGCAGAAAAAGCACTAATTGTAAGATTAATTACAAAGTTGGTATAAGTACTATTTAACAATGACTTTATTGCAAAAGTTAGCTCTGCTATTACTCATTCAAAGACTTCATATGAATAATACTGTTTATGTGGCTCGTTTAAGTACAGTAACTGTACGTTTCCCATTGTTCCTCTATACCATCCCCTAAGCCGATTTTAATCAATTATTTCGTTTAATCCCCCACATCTGTCTTAATCTGTTTATCAAGAAAACTAATTAATGTAACACTATTTTAGAATTACCACCGAGTTTCCACTAGTTCTTTAGGCTAGGATATAAAGCTAACCGTTATGCGGAGTTCATTTACAACATTAATCCTGCACTAAATGTATGGCAATGCCTCATTAGCTGTACCTAATTTTGCTTCTAGATAATAAGTAGATAAATAGGGTGGATCGGAATATACTTCGTGATAGATAACAATACTATTAGTATTATATCAAATAATGCTCTCCAAAAAGAGCAGTAAAATCATACTGAATGTCAAAGGTGTAAGTATGCGACAGTCACTAAACATGAAATTAAATGCAGATTCAAAACTGTTTTTATAATACACGTTTCTAATACACATCGATGGTAATATTTGACATTAATGTAATTTGAAAGCTGGGAGATAGGGTCGAGCAAATTTTTTCTGGATTACCTTCAGTACAACTCTCATAAAGTGTAGATCCCTAGATCTGGGCGAGGTCCGGAACATTTTCAAAAATGTTTAAAAAATTTTAAAAAATACCTATTTTATCTGAGTTTATATATGAATTATATCTTGGAACCTATGCATTTTGGAAGAATATTGAAGAGGAAAAAAGTTTTAGAATTGAATTTTGCGCAATATACTGCAAGTTAAAAATGTTTAAGTTTATTACCGATGTTGCAAAATAGTAATAATTGTAGATAGAAAGGTAAAATAATCAAGTTTTGTGGATTTTTTTTTAAATACCTATTTTAATTGCTACGAGGACAATCTAATTTTTGTAAAAAAAAACTTTAGAGTATAATAATACAACACCAAATTTCATTGAAATCGGTTCTATAGTTTATGCAAATTAATTTTTTGAAAAAAATTTTTCGAATTTTCAAAATATTGCACAGCCTCAAATGAACCATCTAGATACTTGAAAATTTGTTCACATAGAAAAGACCGCTAAACATTTCAAATGGATTTTGAAAAGTTTAGCGGTTTAGTAAATTTTTAAATTTAACACCCTTTTTTTATTTTTAAACAATTAGATTATATCTATCAATTTGCAATCTAGTTTTTTTAAGAAATTATAATTTTAAAGTACTATTTTTTCTTAATTTTATGTGTATTTAACAAAAAAATTAATTTCCAAATAATTTTTTTTTAATTTGTTTAAAAATAAATTATTTAAATAATTGTAATAATTATAACTAAATACATTCATATTCAGAGTGTTGAAACAAATTTTTTCATTTAAACAATGCAATAGCATAGGGTAAAATATACAGTACCTATATTTAATGCATAAATAATAAACTTTGTTTATAACAAAATATGTGCAAATTAGACAGTTGGCATTACATTCGAATTCCTTGGCTTGCGAGACATCATATTAAAAAAAATGGTAGAAATTGGTCCATTAGAAGCCGAGATAATGCAATTTTTTTCGTACCTTCGCATTTTGAACCTCCGAATTCAGTCTCGGAGCGAAAGCCCCCTCCGCCACTTTTCGTGTTTTGAGTCACTTTTTGTGCGTGCGAGCGACAGCTTTTCCGCTGATTTATCTATGTTGCCGATAACTTATGAATATGAAATTTTTTCCAGCTTAGAACTCGGAAAAACGAAGCCACTGGATCAAATATTATTGCTATTTTTTTTTTGTAAATTAACGGTAAATGCCGATAAACTTTGACCGTTTATAGTTCGAGAACCAATAAACGGAATTTCACTTTTTATGAAAGAAGCGTCTTTCTGAGTACTTTAAAATTATAATTTTTGAAAAATTGATAAATGTAATCTAATTGTTAAAAAATAAAAAAGTGTTAACTTTAAAAATTTACTGTGGTCGTCCTAATCAACCAATTTCAATTTTTCAAAAACCATTTGAAAAGTTGAGCGGTCTTTTCTATGTGAAAAAAATTTCAAGTATCTAGATGCTTTATTTGAAGCAACATTTTAAAAATTCGAAATTTTTTTTTTTCAAAAAATTATTTTGCGAAAACTATCGAACCAAATTTAATGAAATTTGGTGTGTTGTTTTATTATATTCTAAATTTTTTTTACCAACATTAGAGTGCCCTTGGAGCATTTAAAATATTTTTAAAAAATTATCCAAAAAACTTGATTATTTTGCCTTTTTTTCATCAATTATTACTATTTTGCACATCGGTAATAAATTTAAACAATTTTACCTTACGGTATAGTGTGCAAAATTTAATTCTAAAACTTTACCTCTTTAATATTCTTCCAAAATGCATAGGTTCCAAGATATAAGTAAAAAACTCAAATAAATAAAAAAAATTTAATTTTTTTAAACATTTTTGCAATTTTGAAAATGTTCCGGACTTCGCCGATCTAGGGATCTACACTTTTATTATGTGAATTGTACTGAAGGTATTCCAGCAAAAAATTAGCTTGAACCCTCTTCAAACATTCAAAAAGTGGGATATTTCGACAGATCCGCCCTGGTCTATGTGTGCAATTTCAAAGATAGCTTTTGAGACTTGCGTTACTTATTCACGAGTTTGAAAAGTGGTGCATTTGTTTTTGAAATTTCGCAAAATAAATCTTAAGTACAAGAATAATACAATTCTGTTTCCAAAATGAATTTTTGTTTCAATGAAATATTATTATTGTCTTGAGAAGTACTAAACAGTCATTGATTTGCATATTTCCTTAACTTAATATGAATATAATGATGCCTTTAATTAATTAAAACCTGATTTTCATTATAATACCATTTTGGATCGTTATAAAAATTTTTAATATAGGTACATGTTCTTATATTTTTCTTTTCGAAGATATGTTATTCAAAACTCAGTTAATAACAGACATTATACTCGTATTTCCAGTGGAATGTAGCTTCTTACAGCCAATAAACTAAACCTGTTGTTAAATTCAACATGTTATACTCGGAACATTTAATGCGAGAGGGTCGATGTCTGGTCTGGAGATTTCAGAACAGGTAAACCTGAATGCAATTAAATTATAGGGCGTTAATAAGGGTCGTTAGTGGCCTACCTAGGGCAAATCCATCTTTGGTCCATTGCACTTGACCTGCCAGATTGGCCACTTCGCACTCCAGCATAGCCTCGCCACCTTCCTGAACCTTTACGTCCCTGGGCAAGACCCGGAAGTACTGTTGCTGGGCCTGGGCTGCCCACACGGTCGTAAGGAGGATCACTGTAAGAAAAATACGGGATTAAGCTTTGCTTTAGTTGGTAAATTCATTGCTTATTAATAATGTTCGCAAGTCAATCAACATTTGGGTCGTATTATGTTGTCACAATGCATTTGTGAGAAATATAAGGGATGTTCAGTTTTTTTTTCGAAAATCTAAAGGCAACATGTTGATAAATTTAAATTACATGCAAATAGTTTTCGGTAATACACAGGTCAAATCCCAGTAAGAACAAAAATCAGAGGAAGGATCTTCAAAGATGTTGCAAGTCTGCCTACACCACAATGATTTATTCTAACCGACAGTTAAATTAAATCGAATTGAGGATTAATCTTCTGAACATGTAAACTTAAAACTATACGCCATTATTCGACATTATTATCTATTCGATGTTGTCTCACTTCCCCTACCTATTTAAACTTATAAGCGTACCTAACATGAATGAATCTGAAGGCGTACGCTAAGCGTCACTGCAAGGTAAATTTTGTATAATTCGACAAAGTGAGTGACGGTACACCTCATGCGTATCTAAAACCGTAGGTTTAAGCCTCCTGTATGACGAATCTTTTACGTGTCTATGACGATACGCCTTGTGTGCAGAAAGACTTACATTTTTGTGTTTTTGAATTCTTAATTTCTTCAATATAGGCTAGCTACCGTGCCCAGACTATTAAAGTTCCAGTAGAAGTCCACGAAAATAAAAGAGAGCAAATCTTTAAACAAAATTTTAATTAACATGAAAATACGCTGAAAAAAAAAGTATTTGAATCAAATGAGCAGATAGTTTTAAATGGAATTATTTGCACAAATGTTATTTTATTCTATTCAAATGTATATACTTTCGTCAAACTATGGGAAATATTTGCTGTAATCTATAACTTTTCTTAGAATTTATATTATTTGTAAATATATATAATTTAATTCAAATCTTTTATAAACTGCAAACATATTTGTTTCAAAACTACCAGTTCCTTAAAATATATATATTTTTTAAATTTAGTATTAATGTAGCTATATTCAAGACAAATATAGCATATTATAATCAAACTTATGTTTTCTTGAAAGAAAATTGTAGCAGGTTACAGAATGGCGTAGGTGGAAAGTACTCCTTGTGAGTAACGACACTAAAGCAGCTGGATCTTTCTAACGACATAATGATGTTGCCCATCAATAATAAATCCCAAGCCGAGGGGCGATCCGCTAAGGAAAAAACGTACGAAGATTACAAAATTACTGAAATCTCTTGTAATGTATCTGCAGATTTCAATATCGATTAAAAAAAATTACAAATTTCATATAAATAATCAAGATTACAATATCTTTCAACCGATTACAAAACATTCCAGGAGATTTCAGAGTTATTTTAGTAGATTTCAATGATTATTTAAGATTTCAATAGGATTATTCGAAATTAAAAGAAGATTTCAAAATTTCTTAGTAATATTTCAAGGAATACGGGAAGATTACAATAAGTTTTGAATGTCCATTTGAACAAAAACAATTGAATTAACTTCAACTGTCATTCATTTCATTCATTAACAGTTGTGCTTTGATTAAAAATTTCCAGTATAATTTTTACGCAAAAATTGTAACATGCTGATTAACTTTTTGTCATGACAAAAATGATAACGCCATTTTGAAAGTAGGTAAGTATATATTCTTATTGAAAGATAAAAATATAATTATCCAATAAACTAATAAAAATAAAAAAATAGAAGTAACATAAAATAAACATTTTCCCAAAAAATAAATAATAAAATAGAAGTAACATAAAATAAACATTTTCCCAAAAAATAAATAATAAGAAATATTTTAAGCTTTTATTAACACTTGTATTTAATACTTTACCTGTATACAGTGTATTTAAAAAAGACGCGGCAATATTTAAGGGGGCGATTGCCCAGATCATTTTATTAAAAAAGTTCCTATAAACATACGTCCGCAAACGCTTCGTTACCGATCTACAGAATGTTGAAATTTCATTAAAAAAACAGTAAAAATTAAATTACTCCAGAACCACTTGATATTATAATGAAATTTTAGGCCTGTTAATAGCTATGGCAGACGCGTACTTTGCAATACAAAACGATTTTTTAGTCTTACCAGTGACTAGCTATTTTTAATGAAAAAAATAGGACCCCGCTGGTTTTTCTAAAAATATAATTTTTTAATTCCTTGTTCAATTATGAAGAAGAAAGCTTTCCTCGGATTATACGCACCGTACGTCACACCGTTATTGAGTAAAAAAATATAAAACATTTTATTGCGCACCTAAACCCAATGTTGTTTTAATTGAGAAATTTAAATTATTTAACAAAGAAATTCAAATTATCAAATTTGATTGATTTTTGAAATGTGGTACATACTGTTGTTTGTAGTAGGTAATAATAAGGAGCTGCGTTTTAGAGAAATTTAATTTTTGACTGTTTTTTAATGAAATTTCACATTCTGTAGATCGGTAACGAAGCGTTTGCGGACTTATGTTTATAGGACTTTTTTTATAAACTGACCTGAGCAATCACTCCCTTAAATATTGCCGCGTCTTTTTTAAACACACTGTATACAAGTATTAAATGCAAGTATTAATAAAAGCTTAATATATTTTTTATTTATTAGTTTTTGGGAAAATACTTACCTACTTTCAAAATAGCATTATCATTTTTGTCATGACAAAATGTTTTTAACGTTCATTCGAACAAAAAACTTAATCAGAATGTTACAATTTTTGCCCAAAAAATGCCTGATACTGGAAATTCTTAATCAAAGGACATTCAAAACTTATTGTAATCTTCCCGTATTCCTTGAAACCTTATTAAGAAATTTTGAAATATTTTTTTAATTTCTAATAATGCTATTGATATCTTAAGTAATCATTGAAATCTACTAAAATAACTCTGAAATCTCCTGAAATGTGTTGTAATCTTGATTATTTATATGAAATTTGTAATATTTTTTGAATTGATATTGAAATCTGCAGATACATTACAAGAGATTTCAGAAATTTTGTAATCTTCGTCTGTTTTTTCCTTGGCGGATTGCCCTTCGGAACACACCAATCGCACCATATAGGTTTCTGTCGAGGTTTCTGTGGCATTTTTTGGAAAATGAGGTAGGGGGGGGGGCGTTGTACAACGACTACATCGACGAAATTCATTAGCTGATTACATAGATTACAGCGAGGATTACAGATAAGATTACGTAGATTACAGATAGATTACATAGATTACAGATAAGATTACGTAGATTAGATAGATTCCAGGGCAAACGTACGAAGATTACATCAGCGGATCGCCCCTCGTCCCAAGCCGACCTATGTCTGGTTGGTTAAACTTACGAACGATCCGAGCTGCTGGTACTCACGGTCCGTATACTCGGACCGTGGTTTCTATAGTGTTTACGAAAATAGTTGAAACCGTATAAAAACTAAAAGTCGGCATTTCTTTATTGAGCAAGTCGGCATTTCTTTATTGAGCAAGTCGGCATCTCTTTATTGTGCCCGGACTGCTCGGGCACAAAATTTTTTGTAAAAACCGCAAAATGTCGCAGAAAAATGGTAATCGTGAATCCCAAAAAATCTTGTATAAATGACATATACAGGGTGTCCGGAAATGATGAGCAAAAAATTCAGGGGATAATTCTAGACCGAGAATAAATCTACCTCTTCCTATAACATTTTTTCCAAAACTGATTATTAACGGAGTTACAGGGTGTTAAAGTTGTTGTTTCCAAGGCAACTAAGCGCTTGTTTCCAAAGCATGCTATGTTTAATGTAGAAAATAAATTAAAATTATTTCGTATTCATCACATGCAAGCAATGTTATTTTAGCATTTTTCTCGAAAACGGTTAGATTTATCGTAACAAATAAAGTACACCTTTTTTATGTCAAAAGGTTAGGAGAACAAAAATATTCAGTCAAATTTCGCATAAAGTGTAGCACAAAAAAGTTGGAACCATTCAAATCAAAATAAAGGCTCGTATGTGGCGCCCTCTACAAAATGCGAAAAAACGGTGGGCAAATTTATAATCCTCATCCCGAAAAACCCCCATATACGAAATTTCGTCAAAATATTATGAGTGTGTCAAAGGACATTGCAAAAAAACTGCAAATTTTCGGTCTAGAATTATCCCCTGAATTTTTTGCTCATCATTTCCGAACACCCTGTATATGAATTACTTCCAAACAAATTCGACTGACTCGAACCAGGCTTTCTTTGCTGTTGCTCTTACACTTTTCTTCTCTTGTAGCAAACTCTTTTCTCTTCCAATCACCTATGCAGCGGGTTTGTCTTTCTCTTCTGTCTATTCTGATTCGTTTCTCTCTTTAGTGTTCAACAGAAATGCCCATCTGCATATCCCATCTTCCTTGGTATCAATTCCCCATTTCACTTATATCTTGATGGAATCTTTCTCCTCGTCTTTCACTGTAGTCTCCAAGGTTTTGAAGAAAGCAGTCCAGGTAAGAGTGTAGGAAGTGCAATTTAAGATTCATCAAGCAACTTAACTGTTTCAAATTTTTCAACACCTCTTCAACCAAAACTCAACATTTTTGGTAGAACATCATATTCAAACCTGCGTAATAATTCTGGAAATTTGGTTGTCCCAATTATACTAGGATACACGTAATCAACATGATTGTACTGGTTTTACACCACTTCAATTCCTTTATTAATATGATTTGGCTCATCCTGTACGATTATTGAAAGGAATCTAGCCTGGTCTCCGGCAATTCCGTAATATTATAAAACTATTACAATCCATGACCGGTTCTGTTATTGCATCAGATTAAATACTGAATAAGTGCTTACTAACTTCCTGTACAAAGTCATTAATTATAACGACTTTTATGAAGGATAAGTATTTTCCAGTTTACTAATATATTCCAACTTAAAGTATTGTTTGCGGTGGTGAACAACACACACAAATAAAATTGATCTGAGATAATCCGAAAATCAAAATAAATGAAAAACAAGTATGAACAGCAAATGTCGTTTTAATGTCGACACGCAAAC